GTACTGGCGATGCAAATAAACTCAAGGTCCCTGCACTCAATGGACTTATATTCCAGAAGGGAAAGACAATACATAAAGGAAAGCTGGGAAGATGGGGGGAAGGGCAACATAGCTGGAGGTATTCAGGGAGTTCAGTAGAGGCCTTAGCAAGATAAGGCCAAACCTGGACTGTCAAAGCCTAGAGTGATTGGTTGACAGGTTATTAATCTTAATCACTGGGTCAGCAGACTTTTTCATCACTAATATTCTATCAGGTATTTCTTGGAAAGAGGCACTCCACCTGCCACCTGAGTAGCAGTTTACCACCTCTTGCTTTGGAGAACAGTAAGGGAAGTGGTGGGCAAGGGGAAATGTCAACAGGGAGTAGTGACAGAGTGATAGGTTATATATGTGCAATCATGTGAAACATATTTCTATGTTAATCATGTTGTGAAAGAAGAAATAGACTAAAAGAAAAAAATTTTAAAAAGTGAAAAATAGTATGCTTCAATCTGCATTTTGTCTCCATCAGTTCTTTCTCTGGATGTGAACAGTAATTTTCATCGTCAGTCCTTTGGAATTGTCTTGGATTTTTGTATTGCTGAGAATAGCTAAGTCACTCACGGTGGATCGTTGTACAATATTACTGTTATTGTGTACAATGTTCTCCTGGTTCTGTTCACTTCACTTTGCATCAGTTCTTGTAAGTTTTTCCAGGTTTTTCTGACATCCTGTTTTTCATTTCTTACAGCTCAATAGTATTCTATTATAATCATATACCACAATTTGTTCAGCTATTCCCCAACTGATGGGCTTCCTCTCCATTTCCAATTCTTGGCCACCATGAAAAGAGCTGCTATAAATTCCCTTGTACAAATAGCTCCTTTTCCTTTTTCAAAAAATCTATTTTGGGATATGGGCCTAGTACTGGTATTGCTGGGTCAAGAGGTATGCACAGTTTTATAGCTCTTTGGACATAGTTCCAAATCATTCTCCAGAATAGATGGATCAGTTCACAACTCCACCAACAATGCATTAGTGTCACAATTTTCACACATCCCCTCCAATATTTATCATTTTCCTTTTCTACCATATTAGCCAATCTAATAAGTGTGAAGTAGTACCTCAGAGTTGTTTTAATTTGTGTTTCTCTAATCAATGGTTACTTAGAACATTTTTTCATATGTGTATAGAGAGCTTTGATTTCTTCATCTGAAAACTGCCTGTTTATATCCTCCTATAAATTAGCAATTGGGGAATGAATTGTGTTCTTATAAATCTGACTCACTCCTCTTTATATAATGTGCTTTTCTCTAACATCTACAAATATATCCTGTAACCAATAATAACTCCATTGATATATAATGTACATTATATCAATACCAGTAATACATGAGAGATTATTTGGTCCTAAAATATTAACAATACACAACTAACTTTTACTTGATCCTATTCTACTTAATTCACTGAAAACAGGCACTGATACCAATCAAATAATAATAAAATGAGTAAATGGTGATTAATTTGAATGGTAGGTATCAAATTATTATTACACAAGGAAAGAGGAAAAAGAATCATAAGCCCAATGAAAATATTTACACTAGCACTTAATACTGAAGCAAACATCTGGAAACAAAGCAGATGACTGTCAGTTGGAAAATGGTTGAAAAAAGTATGTTTTATTATGATGTAAATATTTATGCCATAAAAGTTATGAAAGGAAAAAGATTCAGAGAAATCCAGAAGGATTTGTTCAAAATAATGTGGAATGACATGAGAAGAGACTCGAGAATAATTTATGTGATGACTACAGCATTGTGAACTCAAATATTGTGAAAGACTTCAGAAAGGTGATCTAGGTGGTTACTCATCATGACTTCAGAAGACTGCTACCATGGCACATTTTAACCTCTTCACAGAGAGATGCGATGCTAGGGGTGTAGAACGAGACATGCATTTTCAGACAGATCAATGTGTGGATTTGTTTTGTGTGGCGACATTTATTTGTTACAAAGAAGGAATTTTTTGTGGTTTGAGGGTTTGGGGTTAGGGATAGTGATAATGATACTAAGAAAAAGGAAGAAGAAACAAAAGACTTGGCAGTGACTCATTTAAAAAAAAAACAAAGGAAAGCAGAAGGAAATTCTAAAAGGGCCATGGCTAAGCAGAGAAGCATTGGCACTGATATGTTCAATTTGAAATTAGAAGAGAGTAGTGCTTACTGAAAGTTCCCAGATCCTTATTCATGTTCTTTGGACAGAGAAATGGTCTTGTTTTTCAAATTCATAATAAATAAAAGAGACATTGGCCTGAGTTTCTGCCAGAATATTTTCTCATTTTCCCAGTAGTTTTTGTCAAATAGTGAGTTCTTGCTGCTGTAGTTGGGATCTTTGGATTTATCAAAGCCAATGTTACTGTGCACAGCTGCTTCTGTATTTTGTGTACCTAATCTATTCCATTAATCACCCACTCTGTTGCTTTATCTAGTAGCAAAACATTTGGATGATTTCTGCTTTCTAGTATAGTTTGAGATCTGGTACTACTAGGTTCCTAGTCTCCATAGGTTTTTTTTTTCATTGTTTCCCTTGATATTCTTGACATTTTTTTCCAGAAAAAATTCTTTAAATATAAAAGAAATAGATAATTTAAAAAATTAATCAATTCATCAATCAACAAGCATTCACTGAGCAGCAAAAATATGTTTGGAACTATGGAAAATCCTTAAGTCACAAAGAGAAAAGTGACATGGTGCCTGTTCATAAGCAGTTCACAGTCCAGCCAGGGGACACATGTATAGATTCAGTTATGCACATTATATACAAAATTGACAGGAAATAATTGGGGGGAGGGAGAGAGAGAGAGAGAAAGAAACTCCCAAGTAGAGGGAAAACCAGAAATGACTTCATATAGAAAATGAACCTTGAAGGAAACTTATGATTCTAAGGGATGGGGAGAAGGAAAGAACACATTCTATGTCTGGGGCATGACCCAGGTACAGAGATTGAGTGTCATAGTTAGAGATCAGAAAATAAGTAAGGTCATGGAGTCTGAAAAGGGTAATAATCTAGAATAATGACTGATAGGTAGGATGGGACCAGATTATGAAGGTCCTTGAAATCAAACCAGGGAATTTGCATTTTATCCCACAGGAAATAGGGAGCCATTGAAATATATTGACTAGGGGAGTGAAGGAAAATCATCAGTACACAAAATATTATTTTAGCAGTGGTGTTGAAGATTGAATTGGAGTGGGGACACACTTGAGGTAGGGTGGGAAATTGGAAAGCCATCACAAGAGATTAAACAAGAGGTGATGAGGACCTGAACTAGGGTGGTCCTGGTGAGTAGAGACATACAAGAGATGTTGTGGAGGGGAAATGACTAGGGCTGAAACTGAGTGTGTTGGGTGGGAGCCTGAGGAACCAAGGACAACGTGAGCTGATGGGATCACTAAAGGAAAAAGCTGAGGAAGGGAAGGTACAGAAGAGGACCAAGGACAGATCCTTTCTGTAAACCCATAATCAGCATTTGTGGCATAGGTAACAGTCCAGAAAAGGAGAACGAGAAGGAAGAGGCATGCAGCTAAGAAGAGAACAATGCCATGAAAACCTAGAGAAGAGAGAATGACTAGGAGGAGAGGTTGGACTAATTTCAGATATCACAGAAGGGTGAGGACTGAGAACAGGCCATAAGATTCAACAATTAGGAGTTCAGATGAAATACCCAAATTCCTGAAACATGAAATAGAGATCCTAAATAACCCAGTCTCAAAAACTGAAATTACATTAGATATAAAGGAAATAGTCAGTGGGAATAGAGACAAGCAACATTGGTTCCAGATGCCTTTACAAGTGAACTGTAGAAAGCTTTTTATCATGAATGGATATTATTCTAGAAAAAAAATGAAAATGAAAAAGCCCTCCTTAACTCCACTTATGAGACAAATATAACCCTAATACCTGAATCCATGAATGCTGAAGCAAGGAAAGGGAACAATTTCACTAATGGACATTAATCCAAACATTTTAAATAAAACTCTGTTCAAAAAGCAGCAACGATATAGCCCAAACATTATTCACTAAGATCAAGTGGCTTTAAACCAAGGATAAGAGAATAATTCAATATTGGGAAAACAATATAATCAATTACATTCAAAATAAAAAGCAGCAACACTGGAAAAACAATTAACAGAATGAATCATATTCAATACCAAACAAAAAAAACCACTATGTGAATATATCAATAGAAGCAGAAAAAGTGGAGTGCAATTAAAGATGGACAGTTTTATAATGGGTGTGGGAGTGCACCGCAGGTGGTTTTCAGCCATAGCTGAAGGTCTGCAGGGATGTAAGAGACTTTGAAATGTAAAACAGAGGCTTAAAGATACAAAATTTGAAGGGCTGGGAGGCCTGGATGCTTTAGTTACATATGATGAAGCCAGTAAGACAAATGGCCTTATCTCTAGCCACTCACTTCTATAGATTTCCCACAGGAGGAGTTGAGTAGAGATCATCATCATCATCATCATCATCATAGTAACAACAATAACAATAGCTAACATTCATATAGCACTTAGTATGTGGCAGGGTGCTATTATTTTCCCCATTTTACAGATGAAAAAACTGAGGTAAATGGGGGTTAAGTGACTTGTCCAGGGTTACACAGCTAGTAAGTGTCTGAGGCTGGATTTGAACTTCTGACTCCAAGTCCAGGGCTCTGTGCCTCAATGGCACCACCTAGCTGCCAGTACTTCAATTCAAGGTAGGGTGGGTCAGATAATTGAAAAAGAGGGTTTGGGACCAGAAAAGATTTGCAAAATTAGAAAGTAAGCCCTATTTCATCTCCTGCCCAGAGGTGACAGACAAGCCCACATCTGAGGCTTCTGCTGACCCTTCCTACCATCAGACAGCCCTGGTCTAGTAGCAGTGCTACTGACCTGCCAGAGACTGTCCAGCAGCTACATGTCTAGAAGCAGAGAAGCTTGCCTGGTCCTGACTAGCACATACTGTTCAGCAGCTCACCTGTCTCCAGCTACTGGACTAGAAGCCCAGTCCGGCAGCACAACCTGTGGAGGAACCAGAACAGACATCCATGAAGTGGTCAGTAGCAGATGGAGTTATCCAGCCAAGGTACCACTCTTAGAAGGATACAGCCCAACTGAGCAGACAGTCTGTCAGAGATACACTTTCTTGCCAAAAAAATAAACAAACCAGTCCAACTGAACAGTCAGTAGTTTGTCCATCACCCAGCACCCTCTCAAGTAAATGTCAGGAGGACCATGCACAGAGAGAAAAGACATCAAAGTGCTACAGTTCCATAGCTCTGACTTTCCTTAACCATATTTCTTCCCTACACCATCAAAATACAAATAATTTGTACTTCCAATTTACGGGCAGTCTTCCTCCCTCCTGAACTCTGATTGTTTTTGCAGGAGAGCATGTCCCTGTTTTTAGAGGAAATTTAATGTAACTACTATTCTGGAGAAGAGCATCTTTGCTAGAGAATTTGTTAAGTATACTATCTGGTTGTTATAAGGAAGCACACTGGGAGTTGGTTAGGATTTGTTGAGAAGACAGTTGAAAAGAATGGCCGCCCATAGGGTTACCCCTAGAAACCTGAAAGTTATAGCAGTAGCCCCTCTCCTTCTGGGGATATAACCCGCCAGCAGCAGCAAGTTGGACAAGTGAGCCCTGCAGGGGTTATCACATTAATATGATTTTTTAAAAAGTTATCTAAAACCAAAAGGTAGCATTATTTCCAATAGAAAATGCTAGAAACTTTTCCCAAGTAATCTAGAAGTAAAGCAAAGATGATCCCATTATTCTTTGACATAGTTTTAGAAATGCAAGTGGCAGCCATGAGAGAAGAAAAAGAAATCAGAGGCATAAACATTGTCTAAGAGGACAAACAATTATCCTTATTTGCTGATGACATGAAGATTTATGTAGAAAACTGCAGAGAATCAACAAAGAAACTAATTGAGATCATCAGTACACAAAGTAAGTCCAGAGAATTGCTAGCATTTCTATGTATCCAAATATTCCAATGGATTTACCATTCTCATTGCTACAAGAGGTCCCCTTCAGTGATGCCCAGTGAAGTCCATCCAATCCTGCCCATCCTGTGTTACTCTTTTCCATGCCTCCCCCTACCCCAAAGGTTAACCACTGGGAGTCCACCCAAAGTACTAAAGGTCTTTCTCCCTTTCTCCCACTGCTAAATGGGCACCACTTATGCACTCTTGGTGTCCATCTGTCTCTCCTCATTATTGCCACATGACCAACCTATCTTCTCCTCTTATAACAGGTTATTGATGGAATCTCAAACTTCCACTCTTCAAAGTTCCTGAATGGTTATACAGCAGAGCCTGCTCCCACCCACCACCTGCCTTTCTACTGTCTTTTGTGATTGTTTGGAGGTGGTCTCATCACTGTACAGAAACATTTGTAGGATGTTCCTATGAAATAGAAGAATATTTGCTTTCATACGAAACTGAGGGTAAGTAGAAGAGCTTTGCCATTCCCAAAGACAGTCCAGCCCATTCCCCTCTTGGCCTACTCCAGGCTCTACCACTTATCCATCTGCATTACCTGCCCAAGATAGACAAATGGATGGCCAAGCTCTACAAGGGCTCCTTCCAAGTATATGTTGAAATCTGGGAGATAAGCATTCAATCCATTTCTACACAGAAATAACAAAATTCAGAAGAAAATAACTAAAAGGGAAATCCCATTTGAAATAACTATAAATGTATACATGTCTGGAAATCAATTTACCAAGGCACAGTCAAGCTATATAATTATGAAACATTCTTTATTTTTGTTTTAAATAGAAAGATCAATTTGCTAATGGTTGGGGCATACCAATATAATAAATACAATGATACCTTGTAAATTAATTTACTGATTTCATGATATATCAATCAAACTACTGAGGGAATACTCCATAAGCCTAAAAAAATTAATAACAAAATGCATCTAGAGGGGAAAAAATCTAGAATCTCATGAGAAATGATGAAAAATCAGGTTATTTTATAAAGCAGTAATCACCTAAGCTATTTGTTAGTGGTTTAAAAAATAGACAATAAATCACCAGAACAGACTACATAAGGAAGAATCATTGAATTTGATAAGTCATGTTTGTTAAACTCAAAATCATAAATTACCTAGATGAGAAATTCCTAATTTAATAAGACCTACTGAAAACAGTGGGAAGCAGTTTGACAAAAATTAGGTATGGACAAACATCTTCCACCACACACACTCAAAATGGATACTCAATGTAAATATTAAGGGTCATACTATTAATAAAAGAAAATTGGAAGAAAATCAAATCAGAAACCTTCACAGGTATGGCTTCGGGTAGAGTGGTTTAGCAAACAAGAGAAGAAGCCATACAAAAATTAAAATCTACAATTGCAATAATGAACTTGAAAAAATGCGGAGGAAAAACCAATGCAACTGGGTTAAGAAGGCAAGCTGTCAAATGAGGAAACAATTCATCAAATGTCATTTCCATATCCTGGTTTCTCTAGCTTCCTTCAAGTGTCAACTACAATTCTACCCTCTAGAAGAAGCCTTTCCCAGTCCTCCTCAATACTATTACCTTCTTTCTGTGATAGCCTCCAATTTATCCTCTCTATAATTTGTGTCAAGGAAACAACAAACATGAACTTGAACAGATTTTGAGAGATAGTGGAGGACAGAAGAATCCATGGGGTCACAACTGAAAGACTGAATGATAGTTTGTTTGGATGTACTTGTTTGAATGTCCTCTGCCCCATTACACTGGGAGTTCCTTGAAGGTAGAGATTGTTTTTGGCTTTCTTTGCATCCCCAGTGCTTCAGCACAGTGCCTGGCACATAGTAGGTGCTTAATACATGCTTCTTGACTTGTCTTAATAAAGTTTTGACATGTAAGATATGTAGAGAATTAACACAAATATATGAGACAAAGAGACACTGTCCAATGGATAAGAGGCCAAAGGAGTTGAACAGTTTTCAGGGGAACTACAATATATTAATAGCTATAAAAAGATTATTCTAAATCAGTAATAATAAGAGAAATGTAAATCAGAACAACATTAAGATTATAGCTTATGCCCAGCAGATTGGCAAAGATAATAAAAGAGGGAGAAGCTATGGCAAGACAGGTACACAAATACATTATTGGTAGAGTTGTGAATTAGTCTAGCCATTCTGGAAAGTACTTTGGAATTATGAATTTAAAAAATTATTTAGTTGGCAGCACAATGGATAGGGCACTGGGCATGGAATCAGGAAGACTTGAGCTCAAAACCAGCCTCAAATCCATACTAACTATGTGATCCTGGCAAGTGGCTTACTAGCTGCTTGCCTCAGTTTCTTCAACTGTAAAATGGGGATAATAATGTTCTCTATGTCTGAAGGTTTTTGGGAAGATCAAATGAGACAATATTTGTTTAAAAAAAACTTAGCTTAGCACATAGCAGGCATTATATAGACGGTTATTCCCTTGTCTTTGTCTCTGATCCAGAGATCCCAGTGCTTGTCATATACCCCCAAGGTGGTTTCTCAATAAGGTAGATAGACACCAATTGGGGAGTGACTAAACACATGAAGGTACAGGGATATAATGTAATGTTATTGTGTCATCACTAACAATGTATCACAGGAGTTCACAAAAGTGTGAGAAGACTTGTATGAACAGATGTAAAGTGAGGTGAGCAAGACCAGGAAAGAATCTACTAAATGATTACGGTAATATGAATAGAAAGCACAAAATAATTAAAAGTAGTACTGTTTAATTAGGACAAAGCTGATCCTCATCTTAAAGAGGCAGGTTGGTGTTATAAATAGAGCCATGAATGTGACAGTGGAAAGATATGGGTTCATATCCCACCTTAGATACTTACTAGCTCTATGGTCCTGTTAGTCACAACCTCTTGGCCTCAGTTTCCTCATCTGTAAAATGAAGACAGTATCAGCCCCTACCATCACAGGGTCTTAGGAGGATCAAATGATATTATCTAAGTAAAGGATTTTACCAGTCTTAACAAGCTATATAAAAGCTAGTTACTGCTGCTGCCGCTACTGCAACTACTCCTCCTCTTATCATTGTCATTATCATCACTGTTGCTTTTGTCCCTAGAAAATAGATGTGATTCTCACTTTTCATTGAAGAAATGGAGGACTATAGGTATGGAATGCTGTATATACTATCAGACTTAGTTAATATATTAGTTCATTTTGTGAAACTTTTCTTCCCATTTCATTATTATTGTTTGTTATGTGGGATTGCTCACTGGGTAGGAGAGGTTCTATGAACTTGTTTGAAAATGAAGATAATGGTTAAATACACACACACACACACACACACACACACACATAGCAACAAGCAGAGAAGTAATAAAGCATGACGAGCAATGAGAAGGACATCCATTGATTTTATTAATCTAATAAAAGTGATTAACTTAAATGAACTTGGAGATTTCATGCTATACCAAAGTACCAAGGAAATGCAGAGCTTTACAAACCAAAACCAAATCTTTGAATGAATAGAAATGTCTGGAATCTCAGAGGAAATAAGGGAAGGTAGAAAAAGAGGATTGAATGGAGATTTGTCCTTCCAGATTTCTCATTATATGTTAAAGCAGAAATCATCACAACTTTTTGGTACCGATTGAGAAACAGAAAAGATCAATGAAACAGACCAGGCAAGGAAAAATCAAGAAAAATTAAACTTGATAGCCTAGTGTTCAATAAGTCTAAAAACATAAAGTGTTTGGGGGAAGGACTCCCTATTTGTTAAGAACTTACAGGAGAAGTGGAAAGCCATTTGAAGAACTTTTCATTTAACTAGTATCTTACATCATATCACACCATAACTTTATAATGAATACTCAACTTTACTAAAGTTCCAAGAGAACGAGATTGGGTGCCTTTCACAATTCTGATTGAGAAATAATTCTTAACCAAGCAAAGATTAGAGGAGACCACAAAAGAGGAAATGATTATTTTAGTTGCACAGAATTGTAAAGCTTCATATGAACAAAATCACTGTAGCTTGGAGGAAACAGCATGGTGCTAGGGGCAGCCTGGGGTATTAGAGGAAATGTTAGGTCTGGAATCAGAGGCTCTGAGTTCCTAAGGCCAGGTTGGTCACTGACTCGATCAAGAAGCATATTTGAGTGCATACTGTATACAATGGATTTTAAGAGATATTGAGGACGTAGGTGGGTGTGCTTGCTGTGCTGAGCAGCATCCTAATGCAGGGGCACACTGGAGCCAGCTGTAACTGGCTCTTGAGAGCTAATCGTGAAATTTCTATGTGCCTGGAAATCAGCAAATATTACAAATCAAGGTTTAATTGATTATTTCATTGATTGTTTAAACTTAAAGAAGTGATGGAGAAAACTTTAATAATGCATATTCAACTTCAATGATTAAACATTTAGCAACACACTGATGCCCTAATGTCCCACATACACATGTATTTGTCACATACATGCATATACAAAAACAGTATGTGTTGCCTTTTGTTTGCATTTTAAAAGTAAAATTTAGTTATTAATTTAAAAATACGTTTAGCTCAGTTTTGGTTTCTTTAGTTCAGTGAATAAAATAAAGTTTTTTTATGATTGAGTCTTCAATAAATGTCTTTAAAAACATTTTTAAAAATAAAATATCCTGGGTGCACATTCTAATGATGTGGGCTGTGTGTTAGCAGAACTAATAATAAATGAGGGATTTTGAGACAAAAAGGACACAGTCCTTTATCTCCAGGAGTTGGCATTCCACTAGGGGAAATAATATGAACAGAATAATAATTGCAATAATAGCCACCATTATTGTTTAAATTACAAATTAACAACTAGCATCTATTATTATTATTGTAAATTAGCTTTCATGATGTACAAAGCAATTTACAAATATTATCTCATTTGATCCTCATAACAACCCTGGGAAGTAGGTGCTATTATTATCCCCATTTTACAGATGAGGAAACTGGGACAGAAAGGTAAAGTGATTTGCCTAGTGGCATCCAGCTAAGAAATGTCTGAGTCAGGATTTGCCCCAGGTTTTCCTGACTCCTTGACTGATGTTCTGTCCACTGCACCACCCGACTTCCCCCATTGTGTGTAAATATCTTGTCATATTTTAAATAGGTAAAGATGAAAACAGCAGTACAGAGAAGCATGGAAAGATCTCTACGAACTGGTGCAGAGCCAAGAAAACAACACACACAATAATGACAATAATGGAAATGGAATGAACAGCTACAAACCAAAAAATCAAAAGGAAATGTAACAAATCTATAAAGATCCTTGTTGTTCAGTCATTTCTGATTCTTTGTGACCCCATTTGGGGGTTTTCTTGGCAAAGATAGTAGAATGGTTTGCCATTTCCTTCTCCAGCTCATTTTACATGTGAGGAAACTGAGGCAAACAGGGTTAAGTGACTTGCCCAGAGTCACATAACTAGTAAGTGTCTGAGGCCAGATTTGAACTTAAACCCTACTGACTCCAGGCCCAGCACTCCATCCCCTGCAAAATCTAACTATCCATATAAAGATCTAGCAGAATTCAGATGAAGACATATGAGAAGACACCCCCAATCCACCCCTGTGTGGAAGTGAGAGGTGTTACAGGGGTTACACACTGCACATAGATCATTTGTGTTGATTTTTGTCCTCATTAGAAATACTATTTGTTATATGACATGGCTCTTTTAATTTTTAAATTTATTGTACTTGTAATCTATGAGACAAAACAAGCATTTCCATAACACAGCACAATAAAAAAAAGGAGGTTGCATATGAAACTGCAGCTCTATTATGTACAACTTGTCATTCCTTTGGGATAATTATGGTGATGCAAGAAATAGAAAATATCAATAAAAATGTATTAAAAATAAATGTACAGAACATTTGACCTTGAGCAAGTCATTTCAGCTCTTTGTGCCTAAGTGTCTTCCTCTGTCAGGGAAGGTGCTGGATTAAATGACCCTGAATATTCCTTCTAATTCTAAGTCCAGGATTTTCTGATCTTAAGGGAAAGTGTTCATCTTAACATCAAATCTCTCTGATAAAGGTCTGAGATCCAAATTATACAGACAATTAACACAGATCCATAAGATTCCCCAAGACATCAGTGGTCAGAAGAGACAGTTTTAGAAGGAATTGAAAACCATTAAAAAGTGTACGAAATATTATTCTAAATCACTAATTGTAAGAGAAATATACATCAAAATAATAAGGTTTTCACTCATATTCAGTAAATCGGTAAAGATGAAAAGGGATTTAAAGGGTCAATGCTGGAGCAGCTTGACCACACAGATATGCTGCTGGGAGAGCTGTGAATTGGTCTAGCCATTCTGGAAAGCATTTCAGAGGGGTCAGCTAGGTGGCACAGTGGATAGAACACTGGCCCTGGAGTCAGGAGGACCTGAGTTCAAATTCAGCCTCAGACACTTGACACTTACTAGCTGCTTGACCCTGGGGAAGTCACTTAACCCCATTGCCTAGCAAAAAGGAAAAAAAAAAGAAAGCATTTCAGAAACATACAAAGAAAGTAATGAATATTTCCATACTTTTAAAATCCAGAGATCTGAATGATAGCCATGTATTTTGAGTAAGTCCAAGAGAAAAAGAAAAGTTTCAGATGCATCAAACTTTGAAGAACACTTTTTTGGAATAGCAAAGAACTGGTAAGAATGTAGGTGCCCATAAATAAGGGAATGCCTTTTAAAAAAAAAAGTGTCCCATGAATACAATGAAATCTTATTAAGCAGTGAAAAAAAAATGACTAAGAAGAATTCAGAGAAGATCTATATAAACTGATAAAGTGGGAAATGAGGGAAAATAGAGATACAAATGATACCAGGACTACATCAGTACAAATGGAAAAAACAGAAACCCCCAAACTGAATTGTATATAATGATAACACCCATATATACATAAGCCATTTCTAAAAACTAAAAGGAAGTAATCCCTGCCCTTCAAGGCAATACGTCACCCAGAGTTAAGCAAATTCAAAGTAATTTCCAAAAGGCCTACATGCTAATAATATGGGAGGTTATGTGAGGCCCAGGTAGGAAGCCCCACCAGAGCTGGACTTGAAGGCCAGGGACTCTGGCCTTCTGGGAAATACATAATTAATCTAGGTTTAGTTATGCCCATTTTACAGATGTGATGAGAGGGACTCAGGGAGAGTAAAGGGCTGATCCCGGGCTAGGAGGAGAGTGGGATGTGGAAGATGAAGAATTTAACACTGGCTTTCTGATTCCTAATCCAGAGCTTATTCCACAGTGCCACATGACAGCCTATCTTAAGCCCCTTAGCCATGAACTATTTATGAGTCTCTTTAGTAGATACTTTCCTCTTTGCAGGGATCTCCCTAGACAAGTGCTTTCCCTCTCCAGCAAGTCCTCTTACCAGAGTGGAAAGGCCTGGAAGGGAAGAGCCCCTTTGTTAAGTGACTGTTGGCCAACCAAGGACCAGTTGAGTTATGTTCAGAGATGCTCAGCCCTGGATGATGAAGACTCATGGAGAAGGGAGTCAGACCCACTGCAGGAAGGAGGTATTGAACAACTCATTTGATTCAAAAATCCCATGGGCTTATGAAATAACCATTTTGTGTCAGATGTGAAAAACAGAAGAATTCCCGCTTTCAAGGAGTGTTCACTCTACTAGGGAGCTGTGACATGGAAGTAAGTCAGGAACCCTAGAAATGGCAGAGCCACCCTTTGGATCCAAAGGTTTGAATCCAACGTCAGGCCCTCATCCCCAAGTTCATTCCTTCATCCCTGAATCCAGTCTTCCTCTTCCATTACACCGAGTTTCCCAGACTGTGTTCCCAAAATACACCTTCCCTGCCTTCAGTCATATTGCAAATCTCCCAATGAGCACTTCATGTAGTTTACCCTGGGTATTTTTTTTAAGTTTTCATTGTCAAATATTTAAGGAAAGTTTTAGAAAATAGGAACAATGAAGCCCAAGCAAGAAGACATAGTCCTTCCTCACCCACAAAATATTGTTTCCTTCATTCAATGATTTAACAACAACAGCAGGAAAAAATAAAACACCTGCTTGAGGACATGAGTGATAATCTAAGTGAATCTAGTTGGGGAGTTTGCTCTATTTTGTAGTTGTTAAAGCCTCATTGAGAAACAAAAGCTGCACCTAACATAGAGTCAATGGTAAGTCCCTGGTCATTCCCAATGTAACTAACGGGGATATCTTGAACAAGTATGATAACACGAGGGCATCAGCCTTTGGAAAACAGTTACACAGGAAGAAAGAAATCCAGTCAACAGCTACTCTTTGACTAGAAAACTGGAAGTAGATGTGTGCCAGTAAATGTTTAACAATTGGCTCTCTGGGGGAAAAATGACCATATGACACACTTTTAAGTTGATTCTGTATCATTAACATTTTCTTCATCATTTTCCTAATTCTAGACAACAACAGAACAATAAATCCAGCCCTGATTTGTAATACTTGCTGATTTCCAAGGTATAAATGCTCACACTAAAAATTTCATAATCAGCTCTGGTACTGATAAGAGCCAGCTCCAGTATGCCCCTGTTATGGCAGAACCTAAGAGATGCCAACATAGACAGATTCCTAAGTTCAGGAAGAACCTTAATATTTGCTGAATTGAATTAAATACATTTCCCACTGGCATACTTTCTATCTTGCAAAAATTTCTTTTGTCTTTCTTGATAGAAACAGGAGAGGCAGCATGATATAATGGATAGGACTCTGAACTTGGAAGTATGAAGGCCTGAGTTCAAATCCTTCCTCAGACTCTGACCAGATTTGTCACCCTGAGCCAATCATTCAGTCTCTGTGCCTCAGGTCCCTCATCATAAAAAGAAGGGGTTGGATTTAACACCCTGAATTTTTCCTTCAGCTGCAAATCTTTGATCCTAAGAGCTGAAAACACAAAGCATACAACAACTAGTTACAGCACAACATGAAGTAAGTAGCAACTTATTTCATGCAATTCAATATTTGTTGAGTACATACTATGTGTCAGGCATTGGGACTGAGGACACCAAACAGAAATACTCCTCCATTCTGCTGGACCTACCATGTGTAGCCCCTCTGTGCACACACCACCCTGTCTAAATGCATAGAGAAAGCTAGTGAAGGTTTACCTGTTTGGAAGCCTGTCCCAAAGTCCCTCCTCAGATGAGTCCTCTCTTTTCTCCTTAATAATGAAACTCAGCACCTCAGCCTCATCCCTTTCAGCTGGAGATGCACGGCAAACAGAAGCAACAAGCGTGGCCTGATTAACAGAGGTCTGCTGACACACAAGGAAATGGTCAGAACAGAATTTCTCAATCACACACATACTCAAGGGACAAGAGAGAAAATCAAAACTGAACAAATCTGACTCCTGCTTCATTCTGTCCTGGGCATGGACTGTTTCTTTATGGTGGTAGATGACTTCTGAAGCCTGGCTCTCTCCTTGAATTTGTCAGAATGATGATGCCCACCTTACCCTACTGATTGCTTCCAAGGTAGACAAAGGCTAGAAAGAGGAAGGTAAGTTGTATCCGAGTGGCACTTAAGATCACTCAATAATACCTAAATTCGTCCATGCTCACCCATATCCATTGATCTGCCCACCCACCTATCCATCCATCCTTCTACTTACCCACCCATTTATCCATCTATCCATCTACCTATTCATTCACCCACCCACTTTTCTATCCATTCGTCTATTTACCCATCCATCCACCCACCCATCCACTCACCTATCCATCCACTCAATAATTATTTTTCAACTATACTTTCTACACAAAGTACTGTGTTTGGAATAGGGATAGATTTAGTGTTTAGAGAAAATAGTCCTTCATGAAGCTTAGAGTCTCACAGAGCAAGGTTCTTAATGATTTTTTTTTTGTGTCATGGACCCCTTTGAAAATTGAGTGAAGTCTTTGGATTCCTTTCTGGCTTCATGTTTTTAAATGCATAAAAAATATATAGGATTACAGAGAGAAATAATTACATTAAAATAGTTATCAAAATATAATTTTTAAATTCCTTGAAAGTTTAAAAAACTCTACCATAGAGGGCTTGCATATACACACACATATGTAACTAACATGACTATAACACACCATTGGAAGGAGGCGGAAGACGTACTCTGTGGAACCAGAGGAGACAGGTTGCTACCAGGAAGGCTTCTTGGAGAAGGCTGGCCTCTAAATGATTGAGAGGGTGAGAAGGACATGAAGAGGTATTTCCTATGTAGGGAGCAGCATGAGTTAATACCCCATCACCATGGCCATCACCATTGACATCACTGGAATAATTGTCATCTTTGTCATCAGAATTACCACATGCACTGAATGTTCACCAGGACTGACCTTACCCCAAGAACACAGGATTTCATCCATACCTGGGCTGTGTCAGAAGCCAGTAAGCTCCAGTGCTTTCTCTCCACCATCAGAGCCGAGTTGGACCTCGAATGGACTCCAGGTACATCTGTGCCAGTTCCAAAGCACTAAAGCTATGAAAAGATGACTGACTCTATGCAAGGGGCTGCCCTTGTGCACTGGGAACCAAAAATGTTACTGCTGTCCTCAAGGAGCTGAAATTCAAGAGGCCACATGGAACACTGGGAAGCACATTGATCTCTGAACCAGGAGACCCTCAGCCTTCTATGGATTATTATTATTAACAACAGTAGCTAGCAGTACCTGAAGGTTTGCAAATTTTCTTAGGGGTACACTCTCATTTAAATATCACAACCATCGTGGGAGGTAGGCACCATCATTAACTCCATTTTACAGGTAAGGAAATAGAGGCAGATAGAGGTAAATGACTTGGGTCTGAGGCTGGATCTGACTGCAGACCCAGTGCTCTCCCCACTGCCCCACCAGAGCTGCCCAAGTTACCCATTAGTGAGTTAATATGCAGGATACTAATTATAACTTCTCCAGACACCAGCTTCTTCATCATAGGTTCATGGACAGAATGAACAAATGAACAAACAAATGGATGAATGAATGAACTACTGAATGAATGAGTGAATTTAAAAACATGTATTAAGTGCTCATCATGTACAAAGAAAGCCCTTTGCAAGTACCACAGAAAATTAAGACAGTCCAGGCTCTCCAGAAGCTGACATTCTAATAAGGAGACAGCACCCAGGAAAGGTTTCAGCTACAAGTTAAATTAAAGGCACCCTGCTCTTTAGAGTACATAGGAAGGTAGACAGCGATGATGCCTCATATTTCATGTCATTTCCATTGATAAAATTTTATCAGTTTCTGATATTGAAGCATCTGACTGGGTCAAGGACGGGTGACCAAAACTTTCCTTTCTGGTCTCCAATAGCTGAAGCTGTGGGTCCTTTGTGTTTTGGGGGTGCTACTCCCAGGACTCCTGTGCCCATCTGCCAGCTAGATGCAGCTGGTCAGTGGTTGCTACTAGTCATGGTGAGAAAGGTCGGCTCCACTTTTCAGACAAAGAAATCAAAGCTATCTATAGTCCTATGAAAAAATGTTCTACGTCACTATTAGTTAGAGAAATGCATAAAAACAACTGAGGTACCACCTCACACCTATCAAAATGGCTAATACGACAGAAAAGAAAAATGAAAAATGTTGGAGGGGATGGGGGAAAATTGGGACACTAATGAATTGTTGGTGAAGTTGTGAACTGATCCAGCCGTTCTGGAGAGTAATTTGGAACTACCCAAAAGGCTATAAAGCTGTGTATACTCTTTGGACCAGCAACACCACTACTAGGTCTGTATCCCATAAAGGTAAAAAAAAAAGGAAAAGGACTTATTTGCACACAAATATTTATAGCAACTCTTTTTGTACTGACAAAGAACTGGAAATTGAGGGGATGCCTATCGATTGGGAATGGCTGAACAAGTTGTGGTATATAATTGGGATAGAATACTCTTGTGTGATAAGAAATGATGAGCAGGATGCTTTCAGAAAAACCTGGAAAGACTTACATGAACTGACGCTGAGTGAAGTGAGCAGAACCAGGAGAACGTTGTACACAGTGACAGCCACATTGTGGGACAATCAGCCTAATGACTTCACTATTGTCAGCAATACAAAGATCCAAGACAATTCCAAAGGGCTCATGATGGAAAACACCATCCACCTCCAGAGACAGAACTGATGGAGTCTGAATGCAGATCGAAGCATGCTATTTTTAATTTTTTTTTGTGGGTTTTTCCCCCTTCAGGTCTGTGTCTTCTTTCACAACATGACTAATATGTTTTGCATGAATGAACATGTATAACCTCTATCAAATTGTTTACTGTCTCAGAGAGGGAGGAAGGGAGGGGAGGAGTGAATTTGGAAGTCAGATTTTTTAAAAATGAATGTTAAAATCATTTTTACATGCAATTAGGAAAAAATAAAATATTATTTTTAAAAAAGGGAGAGAAAGGTGGGCCCCCTCTCCACAATGATTTCTGCCCTCAATGATGGCTGTGGGGACTGGGCTAGAAGCTGGCAGGTCTGACCCTGTTACTTCCCTTCCCCAAACTCATTCAATAAACCCCAGGAGCTTCCAGTCCCCTCAAGAATCGAATACAAAGTGCTCTGCTTGGCGTTCAAAGCCCTTCCTCCCTTCCAGTCTTCTTACACTGCCCTTCTGCTCACATGTGTGCATGCCATGACCTCCTTCTAGTCCTCACAGAAGAAGCTTCATCTCTCTGCCAGACCTGTCTGGTCCTCGTGCCTGGAATTCTCTCTCTCCTCCCCTGTACTTCCTGGCTTCCCCGGCTTCCTTCTAGACTTCTCTCAAACCCCACCGTCTATAGGAAGTCTTTCCTTATCCACCCCTCTCCACAGCTTCTCCCCTTTGCCCAGTATCTCTTCTGAGATTATCTCGTTTGCCCCATATGTTACACACACACACACACACATAGACATGCACACATGCACACACACACCCACACACTCAGTTATTTACATGCTGTCTCTCCCACTCAAATGCATTCCTCTGCCGTGTATGTCTGGCATCTCAATGGATTCACAACCTAACTTCCTCCATTATTGAACCTGTCCTACAAAAAAGAATGTAAAAATAGTAGAACAACCTTTAGTCAGACAGATTTGGACATTTACCCATATTTGATGACCTCCTTATGTGCAAGTGGACTGTGCCAGGCACTAGAGTCTTGTGACCTCTGACCCCCAGGGTCCTACAACCCCTGGCTCAGGCAGGCCCAAGAGAACCCCAGGCCTCAGAGGGTGCCTGGCTCTGCCCATCCCTCACCCCACCACAGGATCATCGCAGCCCAGTCTTTAAGGGTTCTCTATGACTGAAGTAGCTTCAACAGCTTGTAATCCACCTCAGGGGGATACTTCCCCCATGGAGCCACACCCCACAGGGTGGGAGGTGGGGAACAGAAGGGTAAACACTCACAGACAATCTTCCAGCTAGCAAGGCTCTCCAAAACAACATAGCCCTGCTATGACCAGTCCTCTGATGGGTTACACTGCCCATAATCAAAGGCATGGGAGAGAATCCCTAGATGCAGCGGGGTTCTATCCATTTTAGAGTCATGGTTCCCTTTGGCATGCTCTGGTGAAGCCAGGCACATGATGGCACCAGCTCAGACCAGGAGCCAATTGTTAACTTTTCAGTGAAAGTATTTGCACCTTAGAAATCAGCAAAAACTAAAAACCAGAACTTGATTTGTTGATTTGCCAATTGTCTAGAGTCTAGACTTAAGAAAGTGATGGAGAAAATGGTAACAATGCATATTAAAATGTGTCATGTGTACAGTTTGTTTTCCCCACAGAACCCTTTATTAAACATTTACCAGCACACCTCTAAAGCCTATGTGCTGTTTCTCAGAATAATGTTTTAAATGAATAAATAAAATACAGAGAATTACAAAGGAAACCAATTATTCTGAAATATAGTTAATAATATTTTTTAAAAAGAAAAGTCACACAGCCTGGGGTGGAGTGGGAAGGAGAGGGACAGAAATGAAGGTGGGTACAGATAGAGATAGAGAGGCCAAGAGGCAGACAGAAAGACAGAGACAGAGAGAGGGAGGAAGGAGAGACAGATAAAGAGAGACACGGACTGACAGACACACAGAGAGAGGGTGGAGAGATAGAGAGGAAGGAGAGGAGGGGAGACAGATACACAGAAACAGAGAGACAAAGAGAGACAGAGAGGTAAAGAGAGAAACAAAGACACAGAGAGGGGGTAGAGAGACAGACAGAGTGGGGTACAGAGAGACAGAGACAGACAGAGATAGGGACAGACACAGAGACAGAGGGGAAGGAAAGGGAGAGGGAGAAAGGA